CCGGCCGCACGGCGGCGGGTTCAATGTCTTCTTGTTTTATGGTTATTTTGTTTAAATTTTTGATGGGGGGAAAAAAAAAAGATTAAACAAAAAAAACTTTGTCCGACCTACCAACCCTCTGCTGAAATTTCTTGTTACCGGATACACACTATCTTTTTTGTTTGGCCTAATCTTGGCATAGACGATTCGATGGTGAGAAGGTGGAGGCTCCGGCAAGATGAACTGAGCCAGTGTAAAAAGACAACCAAAGCTTTTAAAGGTTTTAAAGGTGGGCCGTCGTGGTGTTATAGATTCATGAAATGGAAGCCTGTCTATTAGGGCACGCACGACGTTGTGTCAGCAGCTTCCTCCCAATTACGAGGACAAACGTGCTTCGTTCCACATATTCACACAAAGATAGCGGAGAATTCCATCAGCCCAGATGAAATAATAAATATGGACGAAGACCCTCTGACATTTGATTTGCCTCTCACTCGGACTGTAAATAAAAAAGGTGACTTCCCCCGTCATACTGAAAACAAGCAGCCACGAGAGAACACATTTTACCTGTGTTTTGAGCCGCGCAGCATCGGGCCTAAGGGTGCCAACGATGGTCATTTTTAAGCGGCTGACTATAGAAATAATTTCATATATCTTTTCCCATTTATATGATTTACATTATTCTATTTAAAGCCTAGTAGGCTGCAGTATTTCTCCTCGTAATTACACAAATGCCCATCGAGATCTCTCTTTGTCTGGCCTCTTATGTGTTTCAGTGAATTTCGTTGTGCAAATGCATTTATCATGCTCATAAAAATATGGAGATTATTTTAACCTAAAGAAATGTTGCGTTTTTTTTCTGCGGGGATTCAGCAGGGGACCGCGTCAGCGGCCTAACCCGGAGGCTCCCGGTGGCAGGGACGCAGAAGCAAACCCCCGCCTACTCATTGGCCAGCGGTTTATCGTACAGTGCGGCGCATATAATTACAAAATTTATATTTCTTCATAAATCTGAGCATGCGGCTCTTAATCAGGTGCGGTCTGTAGCCCGGAATTTACGGTAGCTGGAAACCGGTTCAGGGTGTCCCCCGCCTACTGCCCGAAGACAGCTGGGATAGGCTCCAGCACCCCCGCAACCCTTGTGAGGATAAAGCGGATCAGAAAATGGATGGATGGATTTTTTTTTTTTTTATGCATTTGGGTAATATGTATTTTGTATATTGTTTGGAGATTACGTTTCTTGTTTTGTATTTGTCATTTTGTCAACCATTCAATGCCAGCCATTTGTAGCAGAGCCAAGCCCCTGAAGGCCAGCTATTTTGGAGAATTTTGATCTGTCTTCGAAGGCCCATACAATATTGTGTTCTATGGCTATTTAGACATGGAACTGATCAAGAGAAAGATATGCCTCTGTTCATTAGAACACAAAGTTTATTTCAATCATTTGTCTTTCAGCAAGTGCATTAAAAAAACATATTTCTTGAGGTAAGCCATGGACGGTGCTAAATGGCTGGCTTATGAAAATGGAGTTGACACGAGGTGAGCATTAAATGAGTTAATAATCTGCATTATGGTATTATATATTGTGTTTACTCTCTATCCTCCGTAAATAGTTGATCTTTTTTAAATTGAGTTGGTAAGGGGCATTTCATAAGCGTGTGAGAAAGAGACAGGTGGATTAGAGTGATCTTGTGCATGTTCGAGACACGTTTACTAAAGATACACCTTAACACTGTCCAGCCGTGCTGGCTATTTTAGCAAGGAAGACAGCAGAAAAATACATAACAAGTAAAAAATAATTGGAACCCGCCAGACCACAGCCTACAAAGACTGGTGGGAACAACATTTAAGAGTTACATTCCAGGGTTAGAAGTTATCTGCACCGGTTTGGAGAGTATTATTTTAGGAGGGACTGACATTGCTACAATGCACAGCCTGTAATCAGCATCAAGCAGCAACAGTTGCATTAGAGCAAGGGTGTCCAAACCTGGTCCTCAAGGGCCGCTGTCCTACGTGTGTTCTATGTAATTTAGCGCTGACGGCAGCGTGGTTAAAACAATGATGACGGAGTGACAGACTGGCTCATGGTCCTAAAATAGCTGACAGTGACTGTGACGAACTGTTATTTAGCGATGACCCAAGCACAGTTAAAGTAACGATGACCGAGTGACTGACTGAAGATCAAGGTTTGGTTCGGCTTGAAATAATGATGGATGGACTGACAATGACGGCCGGGTGTCCGCTGCCGGATGACGGACCCGCAAAATTTACTGACGTGCTCACCTCTGTATATAATAAAACTGAGGCAGCTTTTCAACAAAATATTTGTGTGAAAAGTTTGTAAAAAATGGTCTTTCATAACTTGAGGTTCCACTGTAAAAATATGAACACAATTTTTTGCTGTGAACCACTGTGCAGACTTTTGAAGGTTGACCAAATTGGTGTAACAAAACAGACAGGTAAGGATCAGCTTTACATGTCGTTGCAAGTAACGGTCAATGGTGAAGACTTTATTGCATCCAGGATGGGGACAGGGTCGCTCCTTTACCTCTTCATGATGCTCTTTGACATGCTTCTGGAAGACAATATCAAGGTGAAAAAAAAAAAAGACTTCCTTCAATATACAATCGGACCACTGTCTCTGTGACTCCAAACAAGAGAGTCGTCACTTTGAAGTGTTTGTTGAAGCACTTGTGGTCTAAATCAAAACACATTTGAATTTCTATAATCTGTGTATAGTAGTATAATTGAAGGCCGTTATAAATGCACTGAAATACACACACACATGCACACGCACGCACGCGCACACGCACGCACGTGCACACGCACGCACGCACGCACGCACGCACACACACACACACACACACACACACACACTTTTTTGAGATAGATAAATAGATAGATCACTTCAATGTCTCAATAACTCGTCATGTGTCCTTGGGCATCAATTACAGCTTGACAATGACGCCTCATGCTGTTCAAAAATCGACTTATTGTCTGCTGAGGCATGGCGGGTTCTGGTGTGCAGAGTTTTGAGCCTCTACAAGGCAACTCGCCTGATCCCACAGGTTTTCATTAGGATTCAGGTCTGGAGAAAGTGCAGCTATTGGAGACACCAGTCTCCAATAGCCATTCCCCGATGAGGCGACCGCAATGAGCCGGAGCATTGTCGTCCATGAAGATGAAATTAGGCCCGTGTTGTTCATGTAAGGGCACAATCAATGGATTGATAATGTGATTCAGGTAGTATGGGCGTGTCACTATACCAGTCGCAAAGTGCTCGTCTGGTGACAACATTGAATGAATGATGCATAGCGCTCTCCTTGATGTCTCCAACATCGCTGGTGGCCATCATTTCTGCTCAACATGAATTGACTTTCATCAGAGAACAGCACTGAGGCCCACTGGTCCCTCTTCCAGCGTAAATGCTCCTTTGCCCATGCAAGATGATGTCGCCTATGCCCGGTGTTGTAGTCAGGTACCCTAGCAGGTTGTCCAGCACGCAGACCACGCTGATGTGTAGCGACACCACTCGAGTGAAGCGCGACTCAGCAGTCGATAGTTCACTGCTCTCTGCTGTGCGTGCGTCAGCGCGGACATGTACGCACGCACCCGGCTTTTGGCTTCAACCAATCAGTGCTGACGCAACGGACACGTTACACATCAAAGAGCTTTGATCTACGACAACAGCTAAGTACTGTTGAGACGACTGGCCCCCGCGAAGCTACGGATCGCTGAAGCTGTGTTTGACCACATGCTTCAGGTGGGTATCATCCGTCCTTCGAGCAGCTAATGGGCCGTGAGGACACCGTCTCCGTCGACCGACTCAATCGACCGACCATCGACCAACTCCATCGACCATTGACAGACTCAAACCGGCAGTCGCAGAGCAGCAGTTTCTTTGCTCACGAACAGCGACGTTCGCCAACAACACGAGTCCATCCTCCTCCACAATTCCCTCATCGACAGCAGCTTCCTTCGTTCAACCTCGACTGTTGCCCTTCCCGTGCCCACTTCGACCACGATATCATCCACAGCTGTTCGCTCTTCAATGTCCCGCTCGCCCAGCACTCCGCCACTGACATCGTGTCTGGTGTCTTCATCAAGCCAAACCACGCGCAGCGGCTGACGAGTCTGCTTCACTTCCTGTCGGCTATTCTGACCATTCCGTCATTCCAACGGCTTCCTTCCTTCGTCGCCTACGCCGACTTCGGATCCAGGAGGGGGGCTCTGTAGCGACGCCACTCGAGTGAAGCGCGTCTCAGCAGTCGATAGTCTACTGCTCTCTGCTGTGCGTGTCAGCGCGGACATGTACGCACACGCCCGGCTTTTGGCTTCAACCAATCAGTCCTGATGCAACGGACGTTACACATCAAAGAGCTTTGATCTGTGACAACAGCTAAGCTAGGCTAGCCACGACAACAGCTAAGTACAGTTGAGACGACACGACGCTCGAGGTAGGACGGACACGCTCTCCGTCAATCTGTATGTTTCTCTTCTTTTCCTTTTTCTGTCCAAATATATATATTTTTTTCTACTACAATAGTAGTCTCATCCACGACGTCTTTTTTCGTTCCACCGGGGTTTAGCCAATGTGTTAATAAACAGACCAAAATCTCTTTAGATGTAAAGTTTGGAATGGTCTGTCGTGACACGTGGCTTCCTCTCACCTCCCTTAAATGTGCCTGGAATTGAGTGGCATTCATCATCCGGTTTCTCAGGGCATTGTTCACAATGTAGCACAATCAGCATGGGATGTGGCCAAAGGACGTCCACTTCCACATCTTTCTGTACCCCTTCCAGTCTCTCATTATCTTGTTGCAACCTGCTGATGACACTCTGTGACACTCTGTTTAGCAGCCACCTAGGTCTAAGAACGTCCTGTTAGAAGCACCATAATGGCAAGGCACTGTTGATCCATTGTTTGGTTTCGTCTTGGTGCCATGACCAGGTGTTTGCCTGCCATGAATTCTGCCGTTAAGCTCCTGGTTAGAGGATGGCAACTTGTACAAAAAGTACTTAGACCTTCAACAATTGGACGTTGTTGGACAGTGAGGTGAATCAGCTGGTCAATGTCACACTCGTTCTAAGCATTCAGCTTGATGTCATCCATGCAGAGGTGGTGGTTGGCTGTTGTCCCACTTTTGAACCGGGACCCAAAACCACTCTTGGTTATGATCTGTCTGAGTGGATTCAGACCTATGCAGAACAGCAGTGGGAACACAGCATCTTCTTGGATGATGCCACATTTGATATTCATCTGTGCAACTGGCTTTGAGTGAGACTCCAGAATTTTAGTCCACAGCCTCATTGAGGCATTGTGTATATCCTAGAGCTGTCAAACGATTAAAATATTTAATCTAATTAAAAATGCAACTGTCATAATTAACTCAAATTCACTAAAAATGAATCGTCATTCCTCACGCATTTTTTATCGTTTCTGAATTTCCTTTTATATTTTTTTGTCCTATTTTTCCCCATTTTAATGCTCTCATCAACATGGAATCATGAATCAGTTTTCTATGTGCAAAATGCAAATATTTACTGAAATAACAATTTCGTTTTTCAATTTTACATGAACATTTTTCACTTGGAGCAGTTATTCACACATAATCTCTCACACAATATTACTGTCCATCAACAACAGTGAAAAAAATATTTTGTCACACAACAGCTGCTTTAACAGCTCTTTTTATGGAATCAAAACAGAGCAATATAACATTATAAAGTGCACATCTAAGGTAAACTAGTACTCAGCCTATAGTGGATTTAAGCCATGCTTGCATACTTCATTTTTCTCAAGTTTGCTTTGAACACAGCAGTCAGGCTATGTTGATTCTGTTGGTCCTTCTTGCTCGGACGTCTCTCTACCCGGAATTCCGGGAAAATCCGGAGGACTTTCATCTCTGAAACAAGTAACAATCGCGTCAGTTTCAGCTTGAGTCAAGCTGTGGACAATGTTGACAGGCTTGCATGCAGTAGCCATACATTTAGCTCTGGCTTCAGCAAATTTGTTATTCGTCGTGTTATCCATTTTCTTCGCTTTGAAATTATCCATAGCTGTCTGTCTGAGACGAGGGGGCGGAGTACTCACGTCAGCTGTGTGCTTGGCCATTCAGTGGTATTTCAGACTCGACGTGCTATGATGATAGCTCAGTTTACGACTGCAAAACATACAGGTAACTTTGGTCTTGTCAGTAGAACAATCTGGCAACTTTTTAAAAGTAAACTTTCCATTCATAAACTCTTAAAGTATCCGTTTTCGGTGTCTCGCGCTGCCGTGGCTGGCAAAACAAACGTGCGTGGACATGTGCAGTGCACTTGTTTTGTTTCTGGTTTATTTATAGAGCAACGTAACATCCGCTGTGACGTCTGCCGCGTTAATCTCGCGAGAAAAAATTTTATCCCGTTAAAATTCATTTAAATTAATGCCAATAAAAAGGCGCTAAACTGACAGCTCTAGTATATTCACATCAATTCCAACTGAGAAGTGATCTTTGGTTAGTTTTCTGATGCTTGAATCAAATATCTGAAAATAATTTTCACATAATCAGTGCTTTAAGGGCAGTAGCTTAAAACACAACTGGAGCGACTTTCGATGATTTTGTGCCGGAGGGTCACATTTGTTCCATTGCACAGCAGCTGGTGAAACTGATTCACAATTATTACTACTTTCGAATTGTAAAAGATGAGTGACTTGTGGTTAAACGAAGATGATGTGTTTTCTTTACGGTTATGAGCAACGGCACAGAAGTGTTTTCTTTACGGTTATGAGCAACGGCACAGAAATAGAGTTCAGTAACAGACAGCCGGAAGTGGTCATGGGTCTGACCTTTAAACCATCAGGAGCTCTATAGACAGCAATGCAGCCTTGATACAGACACTTGTAGATGTTAGGCAGCTCCTCCCTGTATACAGAATACAAAAAAAAAGTTTTAGTTTGAATCAATAGCACTGTAAAAACCTAACTGTTGTTTGCCAATGGTTCACAAATGCAGATGTAAGAGGGGGAAACCTCTTGAATATGGAACTTATGGCCCCCTTTGTTTACCAGTAACATTGTAGATCCTAAATATCAATTATTTTAAAGAGTTCATGTACAGTGACTCTGTGGCTTTGTTGGTCACTTGTTCACAGATAATCCATATTTTAGTGTTGGAAGTTGAATTTATCAGCAGTAGTTGTAGTAGTAGAAGTAGTAGTAGGAGTAGTAGCAGCAGTACGAGCGCGAGTATGTTGTTGTTGTACTACGAGTAGTAGTGGTAATGACAAGAATGATGATACAATATTTTGGCCAATATGCCCATCCTATTGGAGTTGCCTCCACAAAAGTATCTGGAGTGTATCTTATATTTTGTCCCATATGGCTCCCCTGGGGATGCCTGGGCAAGAGACTCTGGATGCACAGAAAATTTTGGCCAAAGTGGCCACCCCATTAGGGGCACCAGGGACAAGAACCCAGGGTGTACCTAATATTTTGGCCACTATGACCACCGCATTGGGGGACTAATCAGGTGGAGAATTCAGTGTGGACCTAATATTTTGGCCAGTATGGCCACTCCATTGGGGACACCTAAGGACAAGAATCCAGGGTGTACCCAATATTTTGGCCGATATAGCCATCCCACTGGCAGCGCCTTGGGTTGACGATTCATGGTGGACATGATGTGTTGGCCAACATGGCTGCCCTATCGGAGACTTTTAGGGAGGAGAATCCGGGTTGTGCCTAATGATTTGGCCGCTCCATCGGGGGCACCGAGGGAGGAGAATCTGGGGCGTGCCTCATATTTTGGCCAATATGGCCGCCCTGTTGTGGATGCCAAGGGACAAGAATTGAGGGTGTACCGAATATTTCGGTCAGTATGGCGACCCAATTGAGGATGCATCAGGAGGAGAATCCGGGGTGTACCTAATATTTTGACTAATATTGTCATGTCTGTCTGTTTTGTTTTCAGCCTCAGCTGGAGTGAAGGGCATTTCCCTGCATCAGGCACTCCTGTTCCACGTTGAGCAATTAAGCCTGCCATGTATTTAAGGGCCACCTTGTCTCTTGTCAGATTATTGACTGTCATGATTCGGTTTGGGACCAACAGGTGGCACTCTAGGGCTCTCCCTGCAGCTGCACACCTGTTGGTCATTGTAATTAGTGCTTTAAAAGGACTCCTAGCCCGAACACTCAGTGTCGGGTCATTGTTGCTCTTGGCTACTGTCATGTTTGTTTGTCTGTCATGTTTTGGTCATGTTTTTGGTCATGTTTCATTTATTGATAGTTTTGAGCTTTGGTTATGGTTTTTGTTTGATACTTTGAACTTTGTTTGTTTTGGATTTAGTTTTCTCTGTTTCAATACACTTCTTCAAGTTCACCCTGCTCCTCCCTCCTGCCTGCTTTTTTGGGGTCCACCACCACCACCACCACCTCGCAACGTGACATTGACCTTGCTCGCTGTCGTGCTTCAAGTGTTTTGAAAGATTTCTGTTTGTACTTTGTCGGTGCACTTTTCTGCAAATATTTTTTGATCACACTTTGTCTGAGCCTGCATTCCTGTAATCTAAAAAAATTATTCGGTTCGGTCCAGAACCTGACACATCATATGGCCATTCCACTGGGGATGCTGACACACGAGAAGATGAACAGTTTAAATTAGGAATGGGTTGACTTGGTCAAACAATGTAGATACTAGAGGAGGAAAAAAAGTGGTAAATTATGAATATTTTGTGGGTATTTTAATGGGGAAACATTTTTCGAAGTGGGGATTTTTGGCTTTGGTTGGGATAAACTGAACAGTTTAAAGTTGGAACAATTTGACTCCGTCAAAAAAAAAAGAAAAAAAAAATCGTAATTTTTTTTTTTTAGTTTTGTTCGTATTGTGAAGGGAAAAAGGTTGACTTTTTGGTGAGCAGCAATTTTGAACAGTTTAAAGTTGCAACGGTTTGAATCGGTCAAAAAATGTAGAAATTGCGGGGAGAACCCCCCTGCCCCAACTGTAATGTTTGAATTTTTTGTGTGTAGTTTGAGGGAGAAAAGATAAACTGATCATTTTAAAATTGGAATGTTTGAATCGGTCAAAAAAAAAAAAAAATGCAGACCTAGGAGAAAAAAAAAAATCATAACTTTTGAATTTTTTTGTGGTTATTTGTATCGGGAAAATGTTGGGTAAGTGGAAATTTTTGGCATCGATAGGGATAAGATGAACAGTCTAAATTTAGAACGGTCAAAAAATGTAGAAATTGGAGCAGGAACATTTTTGGGGAGGGGAATTTAACTTTGGAAATTGCTGAATTTTTGGTAAGTGGAAATTTTTAACATCGTTAGGCAATAAGATGAACAGTTGAAAATTAGAATGTTTAAAACAGTCCAAAAAAAGTAGAACTAATAGGAGAACATAAAAAAATATATACTTTTTAATTTTTGGTTTTTAAATTGAGAATTTTTTTTTTTTTTTTTTTGGGGTAAAGGTGAATTGAATGAGCTGAATGTTGGTTTTTAAATTGAGAATTTTTTTTTTTTTTTTTGGGTAAAGGTGAATTGAATGAGCTGAATGATTTGAATTTCAAATTGGGACAATGTAAACGTGTAAATGGGAATGAATGGTACATTTCTGGAAGAAAAATGTGACATTTTGGCCAAACTGTCAATTTTTAATGAAAAAATAACATCATGAATTTTTGGAATATGTTGAAGTTTGAATGGTGAGAATTGTTTAAAAAATGATGGAGTATCACGTCAAAGACATGAAATAGGATAAGCAGGCTCGGAAAATGGATGGATGGAAGTAGAAAGTTACAATTGTGGTGTAGAATAACGTGTGAAGGTTGAGGAAACAGCGTAGTTAAGTCAATGGGCCGTGGATTTGATGCACTTATTGCAACGAGGGGTTGGGCCACGAACCATAAAATGTTTTTCATTTTAAGTTCATAATATCTGTTCCAATACTTTCAGTTGAAAAGTAGGTGGATTCAAATAAAAGGTGCTCTATCCTGAGTTGTTTAACACATCTAGCGGTAAATACGACGAAATAAAAGCTGGAATTCTCTGAAACCCAAATGTATACATATTAATAAATGTGTGTGTGTGTGTGTGCGTGTGTGTGTGTCCACACGTGTGTGTGTGTTGAAGAAATTGTAAAACATGGGATGTATTTACCCTTTAGGCTTGAAATTTCTCTTCCAGCCAGGTTTAGGTCCAGGCTTCTTTTTTACTTTATGTTCTTCTGAGGTATTTGGAATGTGTTGTTGCTTTTTGGGCCCAGTGGCTCTGCAAGGGAGAATTGGATTTACCTCCTGCGATACTATCGACAGTCACTTTGCAGGAACAAACATCTCATACTCCGAGAGGTATTTTCTGCCACGAAAAAAAAAAGTTCATTTCAATTTAAACGGACAATCATCTTAACTGGAGAACCTTTCAAGCCTCATTAGACTGTTGAACCGAGGTTCTCGTCTACATGCTAGCTATTCCCAGCAGCCAATGATAAAATTCGGCTCAGGAATCAGAAGGCAATCTGGAACAGTTTACAGAGCTTTTCACCAAAGTTGACACATGGGTCAATCCTGGGTCTTCCTTGAAATTTGTTGGGGATGCTTTCAGCCTTGATACAATTGCCTGACATGCCCAGTGAACCCATAGCTGACCTCTCAGGGAGGTCTCGGCAAAGGGAAGTTCCAAATGTGGATTCAGCCAACCGATGGGGTGTAGAGTGGCCAGCGAATTCTGCAATTGTGGGTAAGCAGTAATAAAAACTTTTGGAGGTAAAATATGAAGGGCAACAAAACTCCAACACTTAACACTTGTTAGGTCCAAAATGTGCCTAACCTAAATAATACACACAAAATAAATACTTATGTGGGACAAATTTGTTGGTGGCCCTGGACTAATTAAAAAAAACAAAAAAAAAACAAAACAACAAAAAAATAAAACTGGTTACAGGAATAACTTGGATCTGACGAATGTAAGAAAAAATACAAATTTAATGAGAATTAACCATTGAAAATCAGACATTAGGGCTGGACGATTATGGAAAAAGTAATAACGATTATTTTGATTGCGATTGATTGGTCACCGCTCAGTCGCACCCTGTGCGCAAACATCAGAGACACGTCAATCATAGTCAACACTTTTATTTTACATGTGCGGCACAATTCAGACCGGTGTGACAGCTCGCACAATGGGTTGTCTTTTAGCACAGACACTCACTCATATTTATCAGTCACATACTAGCACAAACGCATCAGCCCAAAACCCAGCACACACGTGGTGAAGTTTTGTTTTTCAACCTCGTGGAGTGAAAAAGACAAACATATTAGACACTTCCCACAAGGTTCTTTTCTGTTTTTGTTATTTTCGAACATTCCAAATAAATCATTGATTCACTGATGTTTGCTTGGGCTATCTTTGATCGACATGTGCATTTCCTTGATTACCTTGAACAAGAGGGAAAAGTATGCAAAAAAGTAACAATTTGAGAGTAGGGCAGTATATTTCTCTGTATATCCGCTGTATGTGCAGAAGAAATACAAATACTTGAATGAAATGAATCATGTAAATCTTTTGGTATCAGAGTATTTCAAACATTGGGTCTGTGAGAGAGCCTTTCACAGTGGGACGAGATTCGAGAGTACCTGTAACTGCATCACGCCGAGTTTTTCAACCCATGAACTGGCTGTTCGTCACTCTCAAGATTTGTTATTTTTAAGTAATGGACGAAGTCGGTCTGGAAAAACTATCAAATTTGTCAATTTTCTCCTTTAAATGAACTTAATAAAAAAAATGTGTGTGAAAAATCTCATTTACAATTAATGGCACCCATTTGTAGGAGTACCTTCAGGTATAGTATGCAAAAAAGGTTGTTGAAGGAAACTAGTTTTGTTGTTTTTTTTTAATGGTGTAAAAATTAATGCTGCGCATTGTTGCTGCAATCCTGTTTATATTCTAAATATAAATAATAATACAAGTGAGGGAAACTGGAACATACCTGTCAAATAGATCACTGTCTGCCTGCTTGTCATCTTGCTGCTCTTCAGCTGGAGAAACTGCATCCTCAGGCTCTGCAAATTCTAGAGACAACGTCACAATTTATGTACTTAAGGAATACAAATTGACACAGAGAAGATACACAAAGAGACTAAGATTTAATGAAGAAAAAGTGGAGGTTCCGACTGGATGAATGATACCTCAGGTAGAATAAAAGTCTCAAAGACAATCATCAACAAGCAAAGCACATACAGTAATTTCTTGGATTTTTTTTTTTCGATTCTTCTCAACTCAACTCAACTCAACTGTATTTATAGAGCACTTTCAAACAGCCATCGCTGCACACAAAGTGCTGTACATGGAGCAACTAACATATACAACAGTAAAGCAACAAATCAGTAACAAAGATGGTAGAAAGCACCGAACAGCAAAACCAAGAAAAAAATCTGAGTCATGCTGAGTCAAATGCCAGAGAATACAAGAGAATACAAGTGAGCTTTGAGGCGGGTTTTAAAGATGGGCAGCAAGGAGGCTTGCCGAATGTTCAGTGGGAGGTCATTCCAGAGAGAGGGACCAGCAACGGAAAAGGCTCGATCCCCTCTGAGCCTCAGTTTAGTTCTTGGTACTTCTAATAATGTCTGGTCCGCACACCTGATGCGCCGGGCAGGGGTGTAGGGGCGGATGAGCTCAGAGAGGGAAGGGGGGGCGAGGTCATTTAGAGATTTGCCATTAATTATACTCTGTAAAGAATTAGAGATTCTTGCCATTAAGGTCTTCGGTGTTCTTTATTATTGATTTATGTATATACATGGTGGGTGGCCCAGTGATCCAGTGGTTAGCACGTCGACCTCACAGTGCAGAGTTCATGGGTTCGATCCCGGCTTCGGCCTCCCTATGTGGAGTTTGTATGTTCTCCCCGTGCCTGCGTGGGTTTTCTCCGGGTTCTCCGGTTTCCTCCCACATTCCAAAAACATGCATGGCAGGCTGATTGACCACTCTAAATTGTCCCTTGGTGTGAGTGTGAGCGCAAATGGTTGTGTGCCCTGCGAGTGACTGGCAACTAGCTCAGGGTGGACTCTGCCTGAGGATGGTTGAGATAGGCTCCAGCACGCCCCTCGATTGGTGAGGATAAAGAGGATCAAAAAAAGGGTCGATGGATGTGATGTTTTGGAAAGACATTCAGATGAGTTTACTTAAGTTTTAGTAAGTTTGGGACGTAGGGAAACCACAAATCTAAATTGAGTCTTGAGTGGAAAACGTTTGTGAAACCCTGTTCTTTCATTAGTAAAAAAATGCTGAACTGAAAAGAAATAGAGAGAAAAAAAAACACAACTACACCACATTCGCTTCGAAGGAAGAAATAATACTTTAAACCAGCTTTTCCCAACCAGCGAAATGAGCCAATCACCGATCCTATGGTGAAGGCATCCTTTTCATTTTTTTGAAAAGGAACTGAGAGTAGAATTCACGTATAAATAAACGGACACATTTTATGATGTAGGCCGAAATTGAGCTTCCCCTCCTGGACAGACCAGCATCCGCCACTGATACAATGAAACCAAAGACCAAAAATTTGCAAAGGTAAATTTGGCAAGCTGTACAGCGATGAGGTGCAGAGACTGTTCACGTTGGTCAGTCCCTTAGCCAATCAGGATGCAGAACACAAATCACTGTTTAAAAAAAAGCATTAAAAAACTGCACAAAAAAAATCCGTGAAAGCCGCGGAAGGTGAACCGCATTAGAATGAGGGTTTTTTATATATATA